TTGTGTTGCCTTCTTCTGGATGACGATCTGTTGGGCATTAATCCAGTCACCCCACAGCGATGGATGTGAATTGTGTTCCCAGAAAGCTGAGATTCCTGTTCAACCTTTTGGGTGGTTTGAGGAATACAAAGTACATCTCATGAATGAAGAGCCATCAGAAAAGAAAAAAATCTTTTATAATTTCGGGAGTGAAAGGGGAGGGAGGGGGCACAGGAGCTGCCTCTGCATCCCCCTGCCACGCTCCTCTGCGGCTTCTGCCCTTTTGCTTCATGATTTAGCCGTTAGGGCTGGAAAAGGCTGGTTTCACCTTCTGCATTTTTAGTAACACATAGAACTTGGCAAGTTTGCTGTAACAGTCATAGCACGGGCATCCAGCGAAAGCCAGGGCGAGTGGCCACGTGGTGGAGCGGGGCTAACGGCTCTCGCTCCCGGGGGCCAGGGCTGTATTTGGGGGTAATTTCCTTGCAGGGTGGCTAGGATTAAATTCACCGATGCTTGTCATCCCTGAGGATGATTTATTTCCTTTCATCATTCCAGCAGGGAGTACAAATGCAAAACTTACAGGTCAGAGGTATTTTTTCCAGTAAAGTATCTTCAGCTGTGGTCATTGGTGATGTGGAAGCCCCTGCCAGAGAGATTTTTGCCTTGAGCTGATTGCCATTGCTGAGCAGCTGAAAACTGGCCAGAAATGGCTTTTGATTTTTGCTCTTTAAAAAAAAGAACCAAAAAAGCATGCTTTGGGATGGGGGCAGCAAGAAGGGAGAGACTTGTCGTGACGATCCTTCTCTGCCCGCGAAGGGACGCTTCCCCTCGCGTGGGGGACTGACGTTGGGGAGTACCGGGCCAGCAGCGAGCGGCTGCTGAAACGAGGAAGGTTTCCCTGGCGGCCCTGCGGCGCGGAGCACTGGTGGCACTCGCCGTTCCGTCGCCCCGGCATTAATCAGCCCTTCGCAGGCTGCCCTGCCCGCTGCCAGAGCTGGGGGGCTGGAGCAGCCCGGCTTGTTTCGGCTTTGTGTTTCTGCTAATGTGAAAAATATAAACATGGAGTGGGCTGGTGGAACAAACAATAGCTGATTTACTTGGCTAATTTAAAGAGCGGGTAGCACAGGGAGGCTGCGTCGCTGCTCCAGCAATCATGCTGGGAGGGAGGACTGCAGCGCCATTACGTGCTATTATTACTTTCTGGATAATGTATACATTTTCACTATCACAGAGTTTTTTCCCCTTCATTTTTCATGGGAACTGGCACTAGATTAATGGTTAAGCCATGGAAGAGACGTAACGCCATGCCAGTCTGATTTATTGACCACTTAGTGCTGATGAAGCTGCAAACAAGAGTCAGACAGATGTTGCAGCTGCATTTTTCTTTATCAAAACAAACAGGTTTTTGCACTTGTTTTTTTTTAACCACTTCTTGCACCATCTCCTGCTTAACCCACAGCACCAGGGATACCAGAGGACATTCCCCCACCACCCAGAGGAGGCTCCGCTGAGGCAGCGGA